GAAAATAGAAGTGACAGAAATTGAAATTATAAGACTGAAATAACCCAACTCTGAGGAGAGTGATACAGATATTATTTCTTTTCTCAAACCAAGAAGAGTTGTATCATCTGGGATAGCCTGTGGTTAAAAATGGATCACTTCCTCTAACAACAATGTGGAGGAGCAAAAGAATAATGACAGTTATTTTTTCTTTGGAAGAACATTTTTCTCGTCCACATACAAACAATAAGAACAATTTCTATTATAAGTAGCCGTTTATCGTCATTCCTCTTCTCTATGTATTTATTCACACTGTCTCATTAAATTCTGATATTGTTCAGAACTCCTTGGGTATGTTGTAATTTTACCATCTGGGTTGCATCATTCATAAAATGCATATACATTGTACTAAAAATTGATGCTTCACAAGAATTCATATTGGCTGTACTCCATCTTAAAGACCTTTGTTCTGTTAAACAATGGAACTATATAATACTTCAATTCAAGAAGAATTGATCTTATTTATTTTTTTTCAGGCTCTGTTATACAATTATAAATTAATCATGAAATTAAAAAAATCTTTGGAGAATTTATGTAAAATCTATATGGGCTTTTCTTATTTAGATTATGATTTTCACTTTAATGCTATAAATATCTATAATGATTATACTATATTAAGTTGTTTAGAACTGTTTAGTGGAGTTCTACAGACCTTAGCGGTTTCTCTAATAAATTCAATTTAACTAATAATGCATTGTAATATATTGTTACACGTAGAAAGTTGCTTACTAGTCCATTTCTGATCTATTAGAATATTAATACAGTTCCATATGCTTCACAGGAATATGGGAGAAATTGAGTGAAATTAGGGAAGTGATATGAAGAATCCCTTCATGTAAAGCATTTTTTAGGCATTTTGGGAATCAGCACAGCAATTTTTCCATCATCAACTTGTTCATTGCTGGGGCCACAAAAAGAATGTCTCTTCCTTCAGAGAGCTTACACTCTAATAGGCAGCATGCAAATTAGTTCCCTTGGAGAGAAGTACAGAGACTAGCCGAGTGACTCCTACACATGGGGTGAATGAGAAAATACCCACATCGAAATGAGTAGGAAAAGCTGAGGTATAAATTCTCAGTGTAGCACCTTATAATCAGAAAGGAACCCTCAACTCTGAGCTTCTCCCTAAGGAGCAGAGTGTTATACCACACATCTAGCTCCCAACTTTTATGGCTGCTACTCAAGGGCCTGGCTTCCAAGTCACCTAGTTTGGGCAACTAGTGGGGCTCAGTATTTGTGAGTGAAACAAAGACTTGGAACCACATTAAACAGAGAGGTGGTATTAAACAGAAGTGTGAGGACTTACTATGGCTATAACACTGGGCTCAACACGTAGGGAATACGCCATAACACAGGGATACCAGTTTTCTCCTTGGAAGGGATTTGACTGCAGACTTTTCTAGCTTGCGTAAGCATCAGGCTTCTAATTAGCTTGCATTTAGAAGTTGACTGGGCTCCTCCAGAAGCTGGAAGGGCTTGTGGATTCTTCCCTCACTCACTTCAATGATAAAAACAGGGTTCCAGCTTCTCCCTGGAAGGAGCTTATCCACATATCTAGCACACCAAGTTTTGTGGCTCTCACTTGAGGGAATGGCTCTCAAATAATTTATCTCGGAGAGCAAAACACTCAGCATCTATAAGTCCCCCTTCACTATAGAAAACAAAGAGGTGATTTTTAACAGAATGTGAGTACTCCCTGCCCCTATCCTCTTACCATAGCTTTAGCCAGAGGGAGCAGGCAAAAATTAAGGCTCCCAGTTTCTCAATGTGGGGGGAATTTGACATACTTTTCCAGTTGCTGCCCAAGAGTGAGGCTTCTAATTAGATACTGGGATCTGATGAGTCACATAATTCATAGTACTATAGGACCCTCAATGGACATGTGGAAACTTTACATGCTTTTTTTCCCCATCTCAGCGCAGTGATAAAACTAATGGAAGTAAGTGATTTACTTGTCAGATAATTCAAAGTAGTGGTCATAAAGATGCTCACCAAGGTCACAGGAGTAATGTATGAACAATCAATTTTAACAAAAAAATATTAAAAGTATTAAAAAATTGTAGTGCTAAAGAAGATAATATGTTAACTGAAAGTTCGTGTAGAGGGGTTCAAGAACAGACTAGACCAGAAGAAAGGATCAATGAACTTTTAGACAAGTCAGTGGAAATCAACTAAACAGGAACAAAAGGAAAAAAGAATGAAAAACAAAATGAAGATCACTTAGAGGACTTATGGGACCCCATCTCCTGGATGAATAAACCCATTATGGGAGACTCAGTGGGAGAAAAGAGAGAAAAAGGCATAGAAAAATAACTCAATAAAATAATGGCTGAAAACTTCCAAAACTGGGAGAAGAAATAGATACCCAGATCCAGAAAGCATAAAGAGCACCAAACAAGATAATCCAAAGAGACACACATTGAGACATTATAATCAAATTGTCAAAAGTTAAAGACAAAGAATTGAAAGCAATAAGAGAAAAGCAACTTGTTACCTACAAGGGAACCCTTATAAGACTAAGAAGATTTTTAAGTAGAAACCTTGTAGGTTGGAGGCAGTGGGATGATATATTCATAGTTCTTAAAAAACTGTCAACCAAAAATACTTTACTTGACAAAATTGTCTCACAATTCAGAGAGGGAAGATATTCCGATGTAAACAAAAGCTGAAGGAATTCATCACAACTATATCTGCCTTACAAGAACTGTTAAAAGAAGTTCTTTGAGCTTAAATGAAAGGATGCTAATTAGTTAATAGGAAAACATTAAAGTATAAAACTCACTGGTGAAGGAAAATATAAAGTCAATTTCAGAATAATTTAACATGTAATGGTGGTATGTAAATCACGTATTACCCTCATAGACAATAAAGACGAAAGTATTAAAAATGACTAGCTACAAAAATTTTAATAGACAACACAAAAAAATATACATTGTAATACCAAAAACAAAATATGGAGGAAAGTAAAGGCATAGAGCTTTTGTATGCTGTTGAAGTTATCATCTTAGAATGGATTATTAGAACATCAGGATGTTTTATGTAAGCCTCATGGTAAATACAAAGCAAAAGCCCATGGTAGATACACAAAAGATAATGAGAAAGGAAATGACGTACCACTACAACAAATCATCAAATCACAAAGGATGAGAACAAGAGAAGAAGAAAGGAACGAAAGATACACACATCCATGAAAGAATTAACTAAAGGGTAATAATAAGCCCTTACCTATCAAAAAATACTTCAAATGTAATTGGACTAATTCTCTAATTATTGACTGAAAGTGAAAGGATAGAAAAAGATAGTCCATGCAAATGGAAATCAAAAGAGAGCATAGGTTATTATATTATTATCAGATAAGATAGATTTTAAGTGAAAAATTGAAAAAAGTCAAATAAGATGATTATATAATGATAAAGGTATCAGTTTATCAAGAGGATTGAAAATGTTTATGCTTCCAATATTGGAGCATCAAAATATATAAAGCAAGTATTAATGGACCTGATGGGAGAAATAGATAATAGTATAATAATAATAATAGGGAATTTCGATAACTTACTCTCAACAATGGATAGATCACTCAGACATAATCAATACAGAACCACTGGACTTAAACTACATTTTAGGTGAAAAAAATCTATCGAAAATTTCATTCAGCAACATGCAAGTGTACATGCAACGTTCTCCAGGATACAGCATATGTTAGGCCACAAGACCAATATAGAAATATAAGGAGATTGAAATGATATCTAGCATAATTTCTGACCACAATTGTATGAAACTAGAAATCAAGTGCAGGAGAGAAACTGGAAAATTTTCTTTGGATGCATTTACATGAATGGAATTAATAGGTCAAAAATTGTGAATTATGGCTATTGTAATATACTGGCAATTTTTGTAAAGCTCATAATTATCCTGAAAAGGTATATGATAAGTGAGTTTCTATATCTATAATTAACTCATGAGGTAAGAGCTTCTTTAAATGGTGCTTATCTTTGGTAGTGTTCTACTAACTCATTAATATAGTATAAGTATTTTTTAAAATTGGTGTTGTATTGCAAAATAAACTCCTGGTAGTTCCACTTGTATTTTAGTTAAATTAATTATATCTTAGTAGTATGCACATAACAAATACTGTTGAAGTTGGAAATTGGGGCTTAATCATACAATACTATTTATATGTTTAAAATTTTTATAATAAGGAAGCTCTGAAAAAATACTTTTTCAAATCACTTAATAGATAAAAGGCAAAATTATATATGCAATAACGTTCTTCAATTTTCTTAAATTTCAAATTTTTAAATGGTGAAATATTTTGTGGCATTTTATTTTCCTCAACATTAGAGAAAAGAATGGATCATCAAGTCATGCTATTATATATATCCAGAGGCGGTACAACTTTGTGGGTAAAATTTGGAACCAAACAGCCCTCTTTTAAATTCCACTCTACCATATACAAGCTCTGGGACCTTAAATTACTTTGCTTCATTTTTCTTTTTTAAAAAGTGGTTATAGTAAGATTGTTGGGAAAACTATATAAATTGTGTGCATAAGGTACTTAGAATACTGTCTGGATCATAGTGTTCAGTAGGCTTAGAATACTGTCTGGATCATAGTGTTCAGTAGGCTTAGCTATTATTATGATAAAGTATTGAGTATCTACCAGATGTGTGCTGCATAGTAGTAGAGTAATAGATATTGTATTTAATCTCTACTCTTCTCCTGCTCCTTCATACTGTTCTTATTTTTAATATTGGGTCATTTTGCCAAAGCAATTGATGCATCTCTTTTTTTCTTCTGTTTCTATGTAGGTGGAAATATAACATGTTCAACATGTATGATCTTTATAAGATAGAGATTTGGTGGGCAAAGAGGGGATCAAAGAGCTATTTGTTGGAGTTAGTTTGAAATTTTCTTATGCTCTTGAATCCTTTTTCTTTTATTTTCTCTTACTTATTTTCCAGATTAAATGCATTTTTGGAAAAGAAAAATTTGAGAGTAAGATAGTAAACTATTGTAACACTCCAATGGATTCCTCCGTGGAAAACAACATGTATATAAACAAAGTGTGGGTTCAATGTGACAACGAAAGTTGTTTGAAATGGAGATTATTGTCAAGTGAGGATGCAACCAAAATTGATCACAATGAACCATGGTATTGCTACATGAACACTGATTCAAGATATAATAAGTGCTGTATTTCCGAAGAAGACTTTCCTGAGGAGTCTCAGTTTTATCAAAGTGGATTTAAGATTGTCTATTCACAGCTACCTCTTGGCAGCCTGGTTTTGGTAAAATTACAGAGTTGGCCAAGGTAAGATTTTTGTTGGTATTTTATAATAAATTGTTGCGGTATAGTCTTGCTAAGTTTATGAATTTTTCAAGCTTTTCAAAGAATCAACTTTTTTTCTATTGTTTAATTTTTAAAAATTGTTTCCTGATCTCATCATTATTCTTTCCCTTACTTTCTTGGGTTAATTCATCCTTTTCTAGCTTCTTAAATTGGAAACTTAGGTAACTGATTTGAATCTTTTTTCCTCCTTGATACATCAATTAAAGCTACATATTTTTCCTTAAGCACTGCTTTAGCTAATCTCATAAATTTCAATATGCTGTGTTTTATTGCCAATGAGTTTTCTTATGATTTTTTTGAGGAGAGTTATTTGAAGTGTGTTCTTAAATTATCAAATATTTGGGGGTTTCAGATATCTTACTGTTACTGAGTTCTAATTTAAATCTATTGTAGTCATTATCATTGAATCTTACTGTATGGCTTAGCACAGTCTATCTTGAAAAGAATGTGTCTTCTGTAATTGTTGACTAGAAGCCTAAAATATTTTTTTCTTTTTCTTCCCATTCTTCTGCTCCTCTCCCTATCCCTCCCCCTCCCTTTGTCTTCTTCCTCCTTTTCTTTTAGATTTTTGATCATTTAATATTGTCTACCTCAGTGTTTCCCATTCTGCTTTGATTTTTCCAAGTATGCAATGTGCAGTATATAGTTTCAAGTCTTCTTTATTTCAATTAAGTTTTAAAAAATTATAAGCAATTATTCTGTTGCATTGTTTTGATTTTCTTATTTTGGAACTTTTATATTCTTATGGTGGCTCTCCTTTGGTTATATTTGGTGTTACTTTTTCTTCAACTCTTTTCATTTTAAAAAATTTAATTATTTTTTGTTTTCCATCTTTTATCTTTCTGAAGGTATTGTCAATTGAGCTTAATGTCTTTTGTGTTTCTTCCTACTTAGTCTTTATGAAAAATTTAAAAATTATAATTTTATGAGTTTTGACACCTCTATTTTCAAATCATCTCTTTTCTCCTATCACCTATTTCTTTTGGTTTTTCTAATTCTAATTTATATATTTTTCACAACCTACTTTCTTAATTTCTGTTAAGCCATGTTAAAAATCTCAGGTACAATTTTGATCTCTTTAAAGGTATGCTTTCATTTTTTATAGGAATGTTAGTCATTTTTACCATAACAACTTTATATTAGATCCCACTATGATCCTTTCTTGTTGTATACTTTTATATGAAATGGATTCCTGTCCTCTAAGGAGAGAAAAGGAAGTCAGAATAGTTATTTTTAAGTCTGTTTTTTCTCTGTTGTTCAATTTGGATAATTTCTGTTATTTTTTATTTAAGTTCATTGGTTCTTTCCTTGTCATATTTATTCTGCTATTGAGCTATCCATTGAGCTTTTTATTTTGGTTACTGTATTTTTGTTATAAAATTTTCATTTGATTTTCTTTATATCTTGTATTTATTTGCTATACTATTTTTCTGGATCTTATTTAAATGTTTTAGCAGGCTGCTTCTACTGTGCTGGCTGGATATGAGGATACCTCTTTGGAAACCTGGATCTTTTCACTGTCTCCATATGTTTGTTTTTTCCAGAATGCCATGTTGTTGAAATCATACCGATCTAACCTTTTCAGATCGGCTTCTTTCACTTAGTAATATGCATCTAAGTTTCCTCTGTGTTTTTTCATGAGCATAGAGACTCGATAGATCATTTCTTTTTACCACTAAATAATATTTCATTGTCTGTACAACAGCTTTTATACTCGTATACCCATTCACCTACTGAAGGACATTTTGTTGCTTCCAAGTTTTGGCAGCTATGAATAAAGCTGCTAAAAACTCCATGTGCAAGTTTTTGTGTGGATATAAAGTTTTCAACTTCTTTGAGTACATACGAAGGAGCATAGTTGCTAGATCATATGATAGGAGTATGGTTAGTTTTGTAAGAAACTGCCAAACTATCTTCCAAAGTGGTTTGCATTCCCACCAGCAATGAGTGAGAGTTCCTGTTTCAAATCCTCACTGGCATTTGGTGGTGTCAGTGTTCTCAAATTTAGAACATTCTAATAGGTATGCAGTCATATCTCATTGTTTTAAATATGCATTTCCTCATGACCTATGATGTGGAGCATCTTTTTCATATGCTTACTTGCCATGTGTATATCATTTTTAATGAGGTGCCATTCAGATCTTTTGCAAGCTTTTAATCAAGTTGTTCATTTTCTAGTAGAGCTTATGTTACGTGTATTTGTTTTTATATCAGTCCTTTATCAGTATGTCTTTGGCAAATATTTCCCCCTCTCTGTGGCTTGTCCTTTCATTCTCTTGGTAGCGCCTTTCACGGAAAAGACATTTCTAATTTTAATGGAGTCCAACTTTTTCTTTCTTTCATGGATGGTGCATTTAGTGTTGTATCCTCACTATTATTTGTATCAGCTCTTTATTTTTATTGTTCTTGTCCTCTTCTATTTGGATTATACTCCCAGCAGTTTCTTTTCAGTGTGAGCTTTTGCTCTGAAAAGGAGCTCTGTTGGTGAGTTTTAAGTGTCTATAGAGCCCAGACAGCTCTGACGCTTTCAATACTGTTTCTATTTCACAAACCCGTCAGAACTCTGGTTGCCTTGCCCCTGCCCACTCTGTTTCTATCATACACACAGATACTAATAATATGTGTAACTGTCAGTAGTTTATACCTGCCTGTTCCCATTTTGGTGTTCATATGCATAGCTTATCACTTAGTTTTGTTATAGATGTTGTATGTCAGGATTTGCCTTTGCTATTATAGTTCTACCTATGCTTATGGGAAAGTCAGGAGACTAAAACTATTGGGTTGACCAAAAAGCCCATTACATTTTTTTTGTTTCAGAATAGTGGCTCCAGTAGTGCTTAGTTGTCTTTAACTTCATTCGAACAACTTTGTTGATTGTATTGTGACAGCCGTCATATCAACATGCATTACAAAAAAACCAAAATTGGTGAATTTTTGTCCAGCCATTTTTATATTGAAGATGAAAGAAGATACACAACATTTTTGACATACAATGCTCTATTATTTCAAGAAAGGTAAAAATGCAACTGTAATGCAAAAAAAGATTTGTGCAGTGTATGGAGAAGTTGCTGTGACTGGTTGAACATATCAAAAGTGGTTTGCAAAGTTTCTTGTTTCTAATGACTTTTTGGCCAAAGAAATCTTTGCTGTGGGGCTGCCTTATGCATTGGAAGATGTTTAGCGGCACCCTGGCCTCTGTCCACTAGAAGCCAAGAGTGGGAGACAGCTGACATACTCAAAATATCCAAATCAATTAAGTTACTGGATAAAATGAAAAATGTGTCTTTTATTTTATGGAAAAAACATAACAGACTTTTTTGCCAACCCAAAATAATTCCATTGCTGCTATCTTCCAAGGGTCCTTTGCTATTTTATAGTACATTCTCCCTCTTAACCTTCTTAGAGCTGGGATACTCTGGTTCATGTTACCTTGTTAGCATTTATATTGAACTATTCTCCATGAAGAATATAATGTGCTTGCTTTAATAGAGACTGTAATGAGTTTATTTTAACATACACATAGCGCGCACACACATACAAGAGGCCTTCATGTCACAGACCTAGATTTGGGCTGAATTGTGTCCCTCAAAAGTCCAGCCTCAGAATGTAATTGTATTTGGAGTTGGTGCCTTTAAATAGGTGATTAAGTTAAAATAGGCCATTAAGAGGGCCTTAATCCAGTCTGAGTGGTCTTATAAGAAGAGGAGATTTATACACACAAAGAAACACCAGGAATATACATAGCAAATACCATATGAGGACACAGCAAGAAGGTAGCCATCTCTAAGCCAGGGAGAGGTCTCAAGAGAAACTAACTCTGTTGACACATTGATCTTGGACTTCTAGCCTCCAAAACTTTGGGAAAATTAATTTATATTGTTTAAGCCACCCAGGCTGTGGTATTTCTCTGTGGCAGCCCAAGAAAACTAATGTATTTACTATCTTTGCAAATGTGGAAATCTCTCTGAGATTTGTACCCATTGTTACTGAGGGCTTTTCAGGGTTCAAATGTGAAATGTTTTAAAAATATATACATATATATATCCCCTCCCCAAACTGGAATTATCTTCTGGAGAGTACAGGCTTCCCCCACTAGGTGAGTGTTCTAGGAACCCATCTGTATCAGCACTGTACCAGAGGGAGTTGTTGTGAGAGGCTGTGTTTGGCTTCAGTGAATTTCTTTTGAAGACTCTCAGCGTTTGCCCATTTCATTATGGGTGGTTTACAAGCGCACCTGCCCACACTGCACTGAGAGTTCAGTTTTTGAGCAAAAAATGGCATGACCCCCATGCCCTACCCTCCCTATTCACCCAATTGCACCCCGAGTAACTTTTTTTGTTTTCCTGGATGAAAAAGTCCTCAAAGAGAAAAGTTTTGCTGATGTGGAAGAAGTGAAAAAAAAAAAAACACAGAAACACTAAAAGGCATAAAAATTGACAAGTTCAAAAACTGTTTTGAGCAGTGGCAAAAAATATCTCGACAGGTGTATTCCATCAGATGGAAAATACTTTGAAAGTGGCTGAAGTTTAAACATGTAAGAATGAATGCACAATTTTTAATAAATAAATTCTGGTTGTTTTTTGCACCCCCCGAATATATATAAATATACTGAATATATAAAAATATATATGTATGAATTTATATGTACATTTGACTTCTATATAATAATTAAGATGGGTATGAAGAGAAACTAAATAGTTAGGTAAGAACAAATATTTGAAAGGCATGACTACCAACACTCATTTTATGAGGTTACTTATGAAGGTATTTGTAGTCCCATGTCATTTTTCATATCTAAAATTAACATTTTGAAAGTAGAGAGTTTGTATTTTCTAATGGAAATTCTGAAGTTTCAATAACCTAGTTCATGAAATGGATTTGTTTCTTGTCACTCTATCTGATATATTATGTTAGAAATTTGATTAGGAATTCCTTTTGCAGTTCTGTGCTTATAACTGAGG